TCCCCCCCCCCCCCCCCCCCGCGCGATAACAGTAAAAATCACCCACGAGGGTTATGCGGCACGACTCCCACGACCCCGTTGCTCTTCATGATCGGGACCCAGCCGCCCGTCTTCTTGAGCTTGACGAAGGCCTGGCCGTCCCTCTTCTCGACCCCCGGCGCGGAAGTGTACCGCTGCACCACTCGCACGCTATCGCCGGGCATGAGAGTGGCTCCCTGTAAGGAGTAGCGGGGCGGGATGCACATCAGTGAACAGCCCGCAAAAGGGACCAAAAATTACTGTAGTACAAGACAGGTAGGTCACTACTAGGTAGAGCGAGAGAGATAAAAGAAAGAAGAGAGGGGGGTAGTCGAGAGAGGGTGCGAAACCAAAGCCGGACGCACTCGCAGGGACCGCCGAAGGGGGTGTGGAAACGAGGGTGTGGGTTAGCACTGCCTGCAAAGAGACAGAGGCTCAGAAGGGAGGGAGACAGCCAAGAGACAAAGGGGGCGGAGGGATGTGGGGGTAACTAAACGCACGGGCCGGCCCCTCAGTAGAAACACGACTGAAGGCTCACCGTTTCCTGCGACTCCAAGCTGGGGCCGAAGAGGACCACCGCCGGCTGGTTGGCAATCATTGGCACATTGTGCTCGCGCCTGCACGCGCGCGAGAGAGAAAAAAGCACAAGCAACAGTAAGAGACAGACGACCAATAAACGTTCATATCGTCAAAATGACTGGGAATTTACAATCAGGAGAACAAAAATGGCGTCGAACAGGTGGCCGTAGGTCATTGCGGTGCGAGCATTCCGTTAAACATAATTCCGGCTGCGTCCTCAACGCGGCCTACACACACACCAAATACTCTCTGCAGGCGGGCGCGCGAGAATGCAATGAGCAGAAGAAGTGATCGAGGTCAAGAGGTGTCTACAGGCAAAGCGGCGGCGCAACAAACGTCAGATTTTGCTCTGAACGGGCACATGTCCGACTGTGAATACTGATGTATATACGGACGAACAAGACAAGAGCGCACAGGAAGCAAGTGCAATCCGTATCGACAACAGCGACGAGAACGAGGAGATGAACAACAACGACAACAACAACAACAACAACAACAACAACAACAACACAGTAACAGCAATGGAGACGAGGACAACAATACTGTGCTCACGTTTCCGTCGTCAGCTCTCCAGACACCTTCGTGAACAACGCGGTCCCGTCGCCGGCTTCGATGTCCTGCGCGGAGGCCCACCCCCGGTCGTTCGCCATGCGGAGGAACTTCACGCCCTCGTTCTCAAGCACCTGGGTCGGCAGGCCACAGCGGGAAACAACACAGAAAGGAAGGAAAAAACACGCACATACATCAGGAGGAGAAGAAAAAGGCAGCGTGTCGCGTCTGAGGGAGTAGGCAGACAGGGTAGGGCGGAGAGGCGTGCATTCACTCAACAGCCAACAAGAGAACGAACAACACCGAGTTTCTTCGAGGAAAAAAAGGAAGGTCGCTCGTTCTACACATTTTACTCTCCCCAAAAACGACTGTTCGTGGGTGGTTACCCCGTGTACCATTCCGATTCTTCTCGTGTGTCTTGGACGCGAAAAAAAAAAAAACATACCCGCTCATGGCACCTCCCTCCCTGAGCAGCGTCCTGTCCGCAGCGTCCCAGCAAACTAAAGCAAAAACGGGACAGAATCGCTCCCAATTTAGCCACCGCGGCAACATCTTCCAGACGTCGTCACCCTTAAGCACAAACAAAAACAAAAACAGAGCCGCCTCCCATCCCCCCACCAATCAAGTGCCTCAATTGCAAAATATGACCAACCTCTCCAACCCCGGCATTCGTAGCGGTGCGTGGTCAATGGTCTAATGACTACGGCATGCGTTTACATGAGTACCCCGCCCCCCCCCCGAAAACGCCACCAACGGACCTGGGTAACCTCGATGATCTCCCCTTCGAAGAGCCCGTCCCCTGTGTGCGGGGCTTGGGGCACGGGGAACGTTCTGATCCATTGCGGCCGCACCCCGGCCGCCATCTTGTAGAAGCACTGCCCCCACGTCCTGGTGTTGTGGCGAGGAAGAATAAAAGACACGATGAAACGACGCTTGCAGTGACAGGATGCTACGGTAGGGGAGTAGTCACCTCATCTTACCTTACACGTTTGGGTAGGGAGACAGACAAACGTCCCATTCTCGCCGTGAGATTACCGGAACAGGGCTTCGCGTTTCCTCCCAAAAGTGTACCCCCCCTACCGTAGCATCAGGGGCTGGTGGTCGTGTTGTGGGTGGAGTAGGGGTGGACGTGCGTTTGAAGCGCTTCCGCCGCCGGCCTCAAGGCCTTTTCTCGTTGGAACGGGGCGTCCTGCACTTCCCGACGACACCAACACTGACGCTACTGCTTGACTTGCTGCTGCTGCTGCTGCACGACACTGCCAATAGTTGTATTGCCGCTGCAGAAAATGCAGCAGCAGAAGTAGCAACAACAACAACAACAACAACAACAGCAGCAGCAATACAAGCAACAATATCAAGAGCACTAGCAGCACAGTAGCAGCAACAACCACTATTTACGAGGAGGACGACACACACACACACACACACGGAAACCACCAGGACACCAAGCAACCCGGGAAACACCAAAAACAGGGTTATGCCACACAGCAAAAAAAAAATCAAACGCCCCTTTGGGGGCCGAAACGGAAAAGAAGAAACGACCCCCGATGAAGGAATTTTTGACCCCCCCCGCTCCGCAAATCGCCCCGTCCCCACATGGGAGGTTTATGGTTTAAAGAGTAGGGCATGCATTTAACAGGGGTCCCCCCCCCCCCCCCCCGTCTCACCCTTGGCTCTGGTAGTCGTCCCCTGGTACGTTGTACTCCCGGATGAACAGTGCGTGGATCTGGTCCGTGATTGCCCCCATCCATGCCTTCATCTCCTTCTTCGACCGTGCCAACAGCAGCCACTCCGTCTGGCGCGTACAGCATACACAGTACACACAGTATACGCGCGATATGAAATGAACGACCCCGCCGCGAAAATGGAAACAAGACAAACAGGTACAACCTCGAAAAAATCAAATAAAAAAGAATCATATTCTTCTTCTCCCCTTCTTGACATCTACACAAAGCAAAGCACGACAATAGCTGGTCTGGGTATTTAATGCGGCGAAGGGCTGATGCTTGACCATGAGAAAAATGAGAAACTGCGATCGCCTCATGTCGCGCATCACCCAATACCACCACGGCCGTCTGAGGGAATCGACAAAAAGATACAACCAAGCGACACAACACCTCACAGTTCGATACAACACACACCACAAAAACAGCAGGAGAGAGAGAGCGAGACATCTGGAAGTGCCCGCAGATAATTTCCGCCCGCACACAACAGCACATGGAAAATCTACACGTCTTCCGTACGAAGGTAGCGCCAACTGCCTGCGTGCATCCAAACTGAGCCAGCATGACACTGCTATCGTCGTTTCCGCAACTTGTAAAAGGGATATACTTTGTACTTGGATACGACACAGGGCAAGAAATACCACAGAAAAAAAAAAAAACTCACGGTCCCGGTGCGGACGCCAAAGGTGTTGATCTGGTTCGTTGGACGGGTCACGGAATCGGCCTTCAGTTCCATTGTCTGCCGAGGTCAAGGAAGGGAGAGAGGGGGGGGGGAGCGGGCGGGCGGTCGAAGGGTGCGGGAGAGGTTTCGTATAAGCTATACTCTCCTGAGGCCTACAAAGACAAGTGACACCGTTCTTCCTTATGCTATGCCATATCATGTCTCCGCAGCATCTTCACGATCACGAAAAACAAGCATGCACAACCCTACCCCCCGCCCGCACACTCGTCCTCCTCCAACCACCTTGCTGCGTTCGAACTTGGCAATCGCGCCGTGCTACTTTTGTCGCCGTGCGTACGCAGCACAATAACTACGCGCGGCGCTGTTGGACAAGGTGGGGGGAATCGAATCCTAATCCTTGCATGGGAGGGCGAGGTAGCAAGCAAGGACCGTTGCCCAAGCGACCTTTGCGGTAGGTTCTGAACTGCGCGCAAGGTACGGACGGCAGCGTCCATCGAGCACATCAAATATATCGTCTCGCCGAACAAAATTGTTCTCGGCAAAGGAGGAGGGTTGACTCGCTCCCGCATTCCGTACGTATCGCTCGAACCGTGAACCGTATCGACCATACCGTACCATACCGTACCATACATTACCATACCTGTCGTACCGTGCCTAACCATACTTTGCATTAGCATGCCGCACCATCCCGTACCACACCATCCCATATCACACCATACTGCTGTACCGAACCGTACCGTACCGTACCTTGTGCTTCTTGGTTCCCACGAGGCTGATCTTCTCGTAGTGGGACAAGAACCCGTTGTCGAGCACGAAGTACCTGGGCGTCCATCTCTTCATCATCTTCGACTGCGACATGAGGTATCCCTGCACGGTTCACGGTTCGAGGTTCGTTCGGTCCGTGATCCGTCGACGTCACCAATACCATCATCATCATTACCATTACCATTACCAATATCATCATCATCATCATCATCATCACCACTTGCTTTTCTCCGACACTTGGAAAGTCTGGCTTCATCATCATCGACATCATCACCATCATCATCACGGCTATTCTCCGACATTTCTTCTGCGAAAGTCTGGCTGTTTGGGGACCTGATTTCCGGATATTCCACATTCTCTCATCATCTTAGTATGTACCTACCAGATACCTGGTACTGGTATGCTTTATTGACTATTGTAAGGCGCCCGCGTCAGTTGGACCAGCACAGACAATACAACACACTGCCAAAGATCGAAACAGTTTTAAACGCTAAGACAACATCAACATCAACATCAACATCATCATCAACATCATCAACAACAACAACCACCCACAACCACAACAGCATCAAGAACGACAGCAAGCCTGTAATTACCGCGCAGGGGGCGGGGGAGGATTGAGGTGCGAGTGCAGTAGGGGGGTACCGCCGACCGCCCGACCCAAACAAGCGGGAAAACACGCAAACGAAGCTCCTGCGTTATCAGCCTACCGCCCCCGTTACCCAAACCTCCCCGCCCGCCGCCCCGCATCGAACGCTTGCCCATGTAAGGTAAAAGACGTCAAGACTGCTGGTATGATGTCGAAATCGAACAGGCAAGGCTTTCTTTGAATGGATGTATAATATTTTATAAAAACGTAAATACAATACCCACCTCCTTGTAGCCATCCTCCATGGCCTCCTCGAAACGCTCCGAGGTGCTCCGCATGTGGGTCGGCATGCCTCCCAGCCTGGGCCCGTCGATCATCTCCACCCCGGCGCCGAAATCCGAAACTGAGACGTCGGGACTTGGGGTGGGGCTGCCAAAAAAAAAAAAAAAAAACGAGACACACACGTTTTCATTGGTCAGCCGGTAAGCGCAGTCGATGCCAACATAACACACAAAACAAATAAATTACCTCCGCGGCAGCCCGAGCCCCTTCGACATTTTTATTTTTTTTACCTGGGGATGGGCGACTTGACTTGAGTATTTATTTATTTAATTCCTAGAGATGGGTGACTTGACTTTTTATTTTTATTACTTTTTTACGTGGGGATGGGCGACTTGATTTTGTTCTTTTTTCACCTGGGGACGGGCGACTTGACGGCGTCCGAGTCTAGGAGGTTCTTGACGGACAAGGAAGGCACCCTGGAGATCGCCGATAGCCGCCGGTTTGCGGGCGCCGCGGAAGGGATGACCACAAGCTCCGAGACCTTGTCCTCCTCCTGATGCTGCTCCTCTAGCGTCGGCGCCTGTTTTTTTTTTTTTTTCGGAGACACAAAATGTAAAGAAACAAAAAAAAAATATATATATATATGCTCCTCGTACACCGTCTCATGATGCAAGTCAAGGGGCTAAAAATTAATCGAACAAACATGCTGCGCATGTACGGTACGTCGCTATCTGCCATATATGAAAGGAGATGAAAGGAGATGAAAGGAGATCTTGTGCCCTAGAAGCGGTTGGAAGCGGTGGAACTCATGAATCGACAACTGGGTGGCAAGGGCCAGAATAACCGACGCTTTTTTGAGCAACCAAATTTGAAAATAACAAGATAACGCACCGCGGGTGGCTTCACCCCCCTAGCTTCTGCCTCCACCTCGGCGGCCGACGATGCCGCTGCCGCCGCCGCCGCTGCGGCCATGGTCTCCTCCTGTTCCTTTTTCTTGTTCTTCTTGGCTTCTTCTGCTTTCTTGAGAGCGGAAACCCTCGCCGCCTCCTCCTCTTCAGTGGCCTCCTTCATAAACCCTCGCAACGAGCTGTAGGGGGCAACACACAACAGCAGTAGGACGACAGTCCGCGTAAACCGAGATGGTTTGGTTCGAGAGATCGACTATTATATGCACAATCAAACGGAAAGGCGGGAAAGGTGGCTCTCATCGGCCAGTGCATTTCTGTTTCAGCCGCACTTTCATTTGGTCAGCCAACTAGCGCGGTCGATACCGATGGAAATTACAAACAAACACACAACAACACTCACGGGATCCCGATCATGACCTTTAGACAGGCTTCCCGTTTCTAGCCGCGCCAAGAACTGACTGTCGCCTTTTCATTGGTCAGCCGGTTAGCGCGGTCGATGCTAACAATAAAACACACCAAACGCACACCACAACAACAAGCGCGAAAAATACACACGTAGATGCTAAAAACAAAGACACAAAAAACACAAAAACCCTTGCGACCACGAAAGGCGTCCGTGGACCAGAACGGACACTAGAAAGGTACCAAGCGGAGACCGGAACGGTGCTTTTAATGAAAAGACAACAACAACAACAACAGCAACAACAACAACAAACACACCCGAAGGCAGCCTTGGCCTTCTCCGCGGCGGTGTCGGCGTCCTTCGCCTTGCTCGTGGCAGCTTCGAACGCCGCCCGCTGGCGCTCGGACGCCTGCGCCGCCCCCCTGGCCACGTTCGTCACCTCCCTCGCCTGCCCTTCCACCTTGGTGGCCTGCGCCTTAGAAGCGGCCGTGAGCTCGCGCGTCTTGTCCACCTGCGCAAAAAACAAAAAAAAAACACATGAAAAAAAAAAGCAGTAGCACGCGGTTGCAAACGAGTGGCGATCACACTGCTTTAGCGGCAAGGCGATGTGCTCGTCAAACTCTGATAGTTTCTTCCATTTGCGTGCGCACACAGCTAGAAACACGATCTGAACCCCGGCAACTGCTCGAAATGGACAAGAGCGGAGACTAAACAATTGGTAGGTGGCCACCAGTGTGATACGCCCTTCTGGTAACGGTACAACAACACCAAAAACAGGTTCCGCCAAATCGTCACGCCGGGGTCACGAAGCGCTAGATACTTGGCGGAGCGAGCCAAGGCGATTCCTGATACACGATTCGTGAAAAAAGAACAAAAGACTCGTGATCACAGAAACTCGTTTTTCTTTTCCTGCCAAGAACGGGAAGGGGAGGGAAAGGGTGGGTAGGTACTGGATGAGGGCGAACGGTTCAAATGAGAGAACAACACCCGACAAAAACAGCATCACCAAGAACCACAGCAACACCAACACCAACGAAAAAAAATAGGAGCAGCAGCAGCACCACCAGCAGCAATAGGTAGTTTCCGCTGATGCTATGAATTCCTCGCTAACCTATCATCGACTCTTCTTGTATGGATAAGAGATGCAATCGTTGTGTCGTATTCAGAAAAACAAAACAAAACCAAGAACCACAGCAGCGGCAGCAGCACCACCACCAGCAACAACAATAACGATAGCAACAGCACCACCAGCAACAGCAACACCAGCAACAGCAACAGCGACCGCAACACACCTGGCACTTGGCCGCCGCTTCCAATGCGCTCTCGGCCGTGCGCCGGGCCGCCTTGAAGTCCGTGTGCAACCCCTTGAGCAGCTCCCCTAGCCGCCGCAGCGCCGTCGCCTCGTCCCGCCCACGTACGTCCGCCACCGTCTTCTCCAGATCGGCCCCCCTGACAAAAAAAAAAAAAAGAGAGAGAGAAACATGCGCAAGCAGATATATACGTGTTGTGTAAGTATACAATACGAACAGAAGAGAGAGAGAGAGAGAGACATGCACAGCAGATATACGAACGTGTGTGTAAGCATACGAAAAAAAAAAAGAGAGGTAAGAGAGACGTGCACATGCAGATATAGACGTCGTGTGTGTGTCACCATCCAAGACGGCACCTAGAGAAGACAGGTCTACGTTCAAGTCGAACTTGGCAACACTTAGGCGAGAGGCGACGTTTCCGCGTAGCCTCAGGTCGACTACACAGCAGCGCTTGAAAACGAAATGTATGTGGGTGTGCATTTGAGCGGTTTAGTAGCGAATAAACGCGCCAGCTCCCCCTCACTATTTTCCCAAAACGTCCCCAATTGAAAATGCACCTCACGTTGTTGTGGGGGGGGCGTTGAGTAATCGGAATATACCAGCAAGCGATCGCATGCTTCTAAAAGTGGATCCGAGAATAGCCCACGTACAGTACTGCCACGAAAGCGCCACCAAGATGCCGTGGACATGGGGCCGGAAAAACCATGCTCACGTTTATCCGCCTCATTATAACACACACCAAACAAAAACTCTCACCGCCGAACGTGCTTCTTCGTTTGGTGCAAAACAACTTTCGAAAATATGGTCACGGAGAACCTTAAGACAAAGAAAGTATTATACTATACTATACTTGTACGACGGTACTACATAAATAGTTCCCCTTTTTTCTTTTTTTAATTCCTCACCTGGCCGCTGCATCCTTGACTTTTGCGATCGCGTCTTTCGACGCGGCGAGGACTCGATCCATCAGCCCCTCGGCGTACGTGCCCATCTTGTCCTCCCGAGCGGCCCCGACCATCGCATCGATCTGATATTGCCGCCATCGCCCCCCCCCCCGTGTGTGTCGACGGTGACAAATTGTCGGTGTCGATCGATGCAACCAACATACAAGTCAAGTCAGTCGCGTGCGGAAAAGGGTTCAGACATGCCGCTTTGCCCACAACGTGCATAAACAACCTAAACGCACGCTCATCTCTAACAGACGTGTCATCCTTCAAGAGACGCGTTATCCTTTACCAGCGGCACTACGGCAAGACTGGCCCCCTTTTCACTGGTCCGACCGTTTAGCACGGTCGATGCAAACAAAAAAAAACACACACACACACACGCACACCCACCGTTTCGGCACTCGCATTCAGCGGGTTGCGCATTGTTGAGATTTTGGCCCTCCTCCAAACACCTTGATTTTTTCCCGCTGGCACATGACTTATTTTCCATTCGTCAGTCGGCAATGTAGCGCCGTCGATGCTAACAACAAAAGACGCGCGTGCGCACACACACACCACGTACACACCTGCGGCAGCGTGCTGCCGGCGGTCTTGGCCCTCTTCGCGGCGGACTCGAGGCCCCTCAGGTCGTCCTCCTTCACCCCGGACGCGGAGGAGGAGGACGTCGGGACCAGGCGATGCCTCAGCCGCACGCCGTCGTCGCTGTCCTCGTCGCTGCTGTCGACGCCCCCCCTCGGCCCGAGCACCGCCGCCGCGGCGTCCTCCGCTTTCTTGAGGCCCGCCTCCGCCGCCGACATGGCCGCCTTTTTTCAAAATACAACCGTAGTGATGTGATTGGTCAACAGCACCATCGGGGGGGGGGAGGGGTCCCGTGGCATGATACGATCAGGGCAAGCAAGGTGGCCCACGGCACGTGCCGCGACCGTACAAACTCTAGACTCATAACTTTTTCTCCCGGATCCGAAAAGTAAGGCGGATTTTTCACAGGTTTGCTCCCACCACTAAAACAGTAAAACAGTAACCAATAAGAGCATGGTACAACTTTTAGGGGGGGTCTACTTGCTTGAGAGCAGTAGGACAGCCAACGAGAGTTCTGAGAGTAGAGTGATTTCATACAAGGACGCGTATTCTTGGTCAATCAGGAGAGAGCTTTGACAGGCCGACGTTCTTCTCGCGCGGACGTCGACCGAAAGCAGTTCGAGCGTGCGCTCCTTCTTACCGCGAGCCCCATCAGGCACAGCCTCGGTGTTAGCGTCAGGGCTTTCATTGGGTCCTCCGGGAGGGGTAGTTGGGGTAAGACAATTGGATTTTGATCGTGTGTCCTCCAGTTGTGTCCGCAACAACAAAAAAATCGAACATCCATCCTGCGCGGCGCTTGAGCACCCCCCCCCCCCTCGTTAGCGGGGTACGGGGGAAAAACGCGAAACAGAAACGCAAAAAGAGCGAGCAAAACACAACAACACAAACAAAATACAACTACAGCTGTTTGTTCGACATAAAAAACAAAACGTGTTTCTAGTAACACGGACCTGAGCCTCCTCTGCCGCGGCCTTGGCCTCCTGTCGGCTGGCGAGGGCATCCTTCAGCCGTTTCATGATCCAGGGAGCCTTCTCCGGGCCGGTCTCGTTGAGGATCTTCTGCACCGTGGAGATCTGACCCGCACGGAAGAAGACGCGGGTCCTGCCCAGCCGGAATGCTTCCGAGGGCACCTGGGATGGAATCGGATATTTACCACCACCACGGCGCATGGTGTAGGCGGGTCTCACGGTTAAAACTTGACACGGTACACGGTTTCGGGGTGGCGTGTTTGGCGGCGTGTTTTTTCATCACGGGATGCGATTCACGGTGTGCGCGTTTCAGGATATAGACACGGTACGGTTTGCGGGTGGCGTGTTTGGCGGTGTGTTTTTGTCACGGAATGCGGTCGCCACCATGGAGACGGTACGGTACGATACGGATGGGGTAGGGCGAGCACGGAGTGATTGCAGGGTTGGTGTGTGTGAGGAGGTGTGACATATTCTGAGCTACAAACTCTTACAACCAAGGTGCTAAGGTGTAAGGTCGCACATGTCGGGGTTGCTAAGCGAGCAGCAGAGCCCCCGGGATGCTTGCAAGAGGTGGTGCACCGTTGGCACTTCTAAGCGGTGCCAAGGACACAACAGCAACACTTGCACGCACACCAATACAAGAAAGAGATGCCGACCTACTCCTACACGAGCTTTTGGAGATCACATCAACCTAAATCAGAAGAAGGGTGGAATTCGAGTCTACACTTATCAAAGCAGTAGGAACACTTGGTATTTTTGGTTAAGGTCTAAGTACCTCGAAGGCCCAGAGGATGGACGCGATGAGCGCGGTCTCAGGCTCCCCCTTGAACAGCTTGTCCGCCTCAGCGGCCTTGTCGCCAAGAACCTGTGCAAACACGCATGGGAGAGAACAAAAAAAAAAAAAAGAAGGAGTTCCAAGAAAAGGCGGAGGCGGTGTTTGGTCGTTTGAAGACGCGGGGGGGGGATGGCAGCAACGGCGGAGGGATTCATTCCTATCTAGTTTGAAAGCATGTCGTCCACAACGCGACAGAAGCAAGGGGAAATCGTGAGTGAATAGACAAGACCATGAATAAACCGTTGCCCGCCACAGGCTGAGGCGGAGCAGAGTGGGAAGAAAGACACGAGCGTAGTGGCGTCCTTACCTCCTTGAGCTCGGCGTACGTGACGCGGGTGGGCATGCCGACCTTGAGCACTTCGCACGTCTGCAGGATGCCCAGGCACTGCAGCTGCTCCACGACGTACCTATCGGGGGGGGGAGGGGGATTGGAAGGAAGACTCTTTTGTGATTTGGCCCCACATACAGAGGGAGAACGATTAACTTGGGGAAACAGAGGTGAAAAATAAAAAAAAGCCCGCAAGGCTTCGCTCGGAACGAGGACCCGCCGCCGCCTCAAGAACAGAACAACCGTTTTTGGATCAAGACCCGAGCACGAAAAAAAAAACGAAATAAATAACTTTGATACAGAGGCGAGGTTTCATAGCTATCCGAGACACGGCAACCATGTGCCTGCTTTCGTGTCGTCGTCCCCGTCTACCCTGGCCGACAGTCTGCCCGCCGGGGACACGCAGGAGGAAGGTCAACACTCGAGTCTCGTGTGTGTTTCTACTGCACACATAAACGATGAACGGCTTGCGTGACGAGCGAAGCGAGCCGGCGTGACAAAGAGGTGAAAGCGCGTACACCAACCAACGCCGTCCCGCACATATCTCCGTCTACACGATCTCAACGCGACGCGCATTGACAGGCAAAACACACATCGCGCTGCTCTAATGGTCGCGGTGCGTGCGTGTGTGTGTGTGTCCCGCAGAACTCCCTCCGTCCATTCGAAAGTCCGGCAAGCGAGGGTCACAAAAAGACCGCCATCAACTCGTCTGGCATCACCATGACCCCAATCCCCGAGCTTTGGCCATCGGTCATCGGTCCTGCGGGAACAATGCTCCGTCCTCTCGAGCACGCGTGGTCCACGGTCCATAACCGCTAAGGCATACAAAACATGAGTACCCCCCCCCCCCCCCGGATGTAAAAAAG